GCGTGTTTCTTGTGTAAGCTGAAAGTCGCGAAAAAGTATTGAAATATCTATTGCTCCAAGGGTTCAGGGGATCTCGTAGTCGAGCAGTCTCGACTAGAGCTTTCTTACTTGTTTAGCTACATATTTGTGTTGTTTACCTACGTCAATGAGATTTCTCTAGGTATTTCCATGGCAATGGCCAAGTCCCCAGCATATCAGTCACGATCCGCATGATAAGCGTATGAAGGGATAGATGAAGAAGGAGTGTGCGTGTGGGTGGGTGTGTGTGAGCGAGATAGCGACCCGTAGATAAATATAAAAAATCAAGCTCGTGGGTGAGAGCAGCTGAATTCGGTGGAATTGCTAATTAAATTGGCATATGAAAAAGCCGAATTGCCATGAGAATTGTTTATGTTCATACTACACAATTTCGAGCGAAGCGCGCAATGAATGGAGAGAAGCAAATACCTTTTAATATTCATACATATACATGTACATGTACAGATACACACATATACATATCTATATATATATATATGTGTATGTTATGGCATGAGTGAGTGGCCGGGTGGACGGTCGGACGGCAAAATGAAAACGTAATAAATAAATCTCATTTCAATTTTCTTGCGAAAAAATATCAAAATGAAATACACTTTCTCAGGCCGCTTTGTACAGAGGCGCAGAGGCGAAGGCAGAGGCCACTCCCCGTTCTCTGCTCTGCCCACCCTTTTCGGCTCGTTCGTTGCGCTCCTTTGGCACTTTGTGCTTTGTTGCCCGCTCTGCTTTGCATGTGATTTTGTTTTCAAGCGAAGTTCATTTGCGAATTCCAAGTAACTGCAAAAGCAAAAAAACGAAAAATCAAAATAAATAAAAAACAAAAAATTGAAATAAATAGCAAGAAGAAGCAGTAGCAGCCAGTGGCAGCAGCCAGCCAACAGAGTCAACGAAGCGACAGCAACAAAAAGTAATTGAATTCGCTTTAAAAATCCTACGCCCGTCTGTCTGTCCCATTCGTCTTTGTTGTCTACCTATATAGCCCTATCCTGCTTGCAAGCTTCGCCGCGCCTCTTCTCGCTTCGCTCTGACTCTGACTCTGACTTCGCCTCTCCTTCCAGGCTTTTGTTGTTTGCAGTTGACTTTTTGCTCACGCTTTAGTTTTGCACTTGCCCGTCTCTGCTATTCCACTACAACTAGAACTTCAACTACAGCCGCTTGCCTAGCTTCATTGTTGTCATCATCTCTCTCTCTTTCTCTCGCCCTCTCCTCTACACGTCGTCGCTCGCACTGACCGCAATTCATTTTGCTTTGTTGTGACAATTTCAGCGTAAAAACATGACAATGGGCGGAGGCAGCAGCAGCGCAGCAATTTCGCTTTTTTTTTCCTTTCTTGGATATTGAAGTGAGCGAGAGGGAAGCAGCGCAGTTATGTAAACTCAAGCGGGTGGTGAATTGCTGGGAACCCGCTTCCCATAGTTAATGTTTGCAAAACTGCGACTTAACTTTTAGCAAAGTTTTATTTTTCTCAATACTGAATTGGAAAAGTTTTGCAGACTCTCCTCCACCCGCCGCCGTCCCTTGAAGGTTTAGTTGCTTTGAACTTTTTACTAAATACAAAGTCAAATATTAAGTATTTGTATACGGCGCTGGCCTTAGAGTTAGAAAGAGAGAGAGAGAGAGAGAGAGAGCGAGAAAAGAAAGAACTATTTAAACTGCGAATTGTGAACAATTTATTCGAAACTAATTTCAACTCGCATTATAGATAAGCGCAGGTGCTTAGTAAGATACAATGCACCCCGTGCTACTGTATGTACATACAAACATACATATGTGTGCATACGCGCCCCCTATACATATACATATACATATAGAGTTGGGTTTACTGTGAAACGTTTATCAACGTTATTTTTACCACGAACAAGTTATGTATTAGATCATTATCTGTATTTGGATTTCTGATGAAATTTCGCATTGTCTGCAGCACTTCCAGCTCATGGCAACACAGAAAAAAGGTAAAAAAAAAAAAACAAAGTGAAGAAAGAAGGTACGAAAACGCGGGCCCTCTCGAATCGCCAAGCAGGCTGCAGCGCAACCGCTCCTGTGACTCATGCTCCAATGGCTAAACTACCTACCTACTAACATGCATGTGTGTGTGTGTGTTAGCTTTTTAGAGCGCGCTATGCGGTTTTATCTGGTATGCTTCAACTTCTGTGGGTTTCCATTGAAAGTTGTTCGCTCAGCGCTCGTCATGTCATGCGGGTTCTCTGGATTTCATCATTATCGTAAATAATATACATATATACATACACATGTGCACATATACATTCTGTCATATAATATATATTACTATAATTCATTTTGTTCTGGGACTTTGTGTTTAAAATTAGCGAATCAAAATGAGCTGTGTCATAATGAATTGATTCATTCGCATTGAGTAAGGTCGGAATGCAGCACGTGCTGTTGCTGTCGCTGATGCCGATAGATGGCGCTGCATGGCAATTAGTTTAGCTAACTGTATAGTACCGAGAGAAAAGCCAATTAAAATATAGAAATTCTAACTAAACACAAATCAAACGTGGCCATATCGAGTTTTTTATTTTGCATTTCGGCTGTCTATAGCATTTCCGGGAAGTACGAAATGCCTCAAATGGTTTTCCAGCCAACTTTAGCTTTGCCATTAAATACTCTCCACCGTGTCTCCGTCTCCCTCGACCTTCTCGCATTGTTAATTGTTTAACGAGCGAAATTTGAAAGCGTTTCCAATTGACGTTTTGAAATTTCCCAGAAATTTATGGTGTTTCAAGTACATATAGATATGTACATATGTATATATAGCCATAGCTGCGCAGCGATTGGTTAAGTTCACTGATTGCCAATTAGCGCTGAGAAAATTATATTTGTGTTTCTACTGAAACGCCAATTAGATAAGTGTCGGAATTAGTGAACTGCGATTTCTGATTCTGCAGAAGATAATTACATTACCTAATATATACTTGGTATATAATAAATAATAATCAGCTGAGCATTATATTGGGATGATATTCTTGTGATTCTGCTGAAGATAATTACATTAAATACTTAAGCGTAGAATAAGCGACTTGTATATTAAATTTATATGTTCAAATGACTATTATATTATATTGGGATGATAATAGAAAGTCGCCTGATCGGTGATCTAATGCTTCATGAAATACCCAAAGAATGACAACGCTTTTTTTTTGTCAATGTTGCCAGCTGTTCTTTTTCACGTTTTTTTTGTAGTTTTGTCGTTGGAGTGGAGTACATTGGCCTAGAAAGTGACTCATTAGAGCGAAGTCTGTCACGGTCTGCCCTTGAATTGGATGACGCATTTGCTAACATATTTCAATTGCAGCGATAAGGATTCCGAGTCACACTGCGAGTCACTCACACACAAACAGACACACACATATGCCAAAGTGTAGTTTCGCTTCAGATAAATTGCAAATCGTTTATACGAGTCGCCTTATCAATAAATGAATCTCGTAAGCGCGATTCCGCTGAATGAACGAGATTTTACAGTGTAAACTTGAATGTGACTCGTGTGTGCGGGGTTTTTTCGTGCTTCTTCTTGTTTCTCTGAACATTTCAATGATTTGTGAAATTAACAAAAATTTGATATACAAAAGAAGTTGAGCGCATCAATGGAGTGCTTTATTCAAACGAACCACTAAGACCTACTTTGAGCTGAACTAGTGAATAGACGAATCTAAAGCATTTTCACTAGTTCCATCATATTCACAATGCATAACTGCTAAATCTTTCGAGTTGAGCGAGTGAGTAAATACACATACATATGTAAATATAAACATTTCCACTTGTTCCATCATATTCGGCTAGAATTTGGCCAGATTCTCCCCTGTGTTTACTCCGTTGCCTTGTCTAAATATAGCATCAATCATTACGTTATTTCGCGTTACGTTATGCTCTCGCAAAGATGCTGTCGACAGGCGCGATGCGTGGGATTGGTATGCGCTCCATTGTTTATTTCAATGGGCCATTCCTTGAGCAATGCGTGAGTCAGTTCGTGTGGGGGAGCGTCGGCCACTTGGCAGCCAACAGCTGTGTGTGTGTGTGTGCGTATGCGTGTGTGTGCGTGTGTGTGGGGGGTGCTTCTTCCATGCATTTAATTGCTTGATGAATGCTCCAACTTCAACTCTAATTAAGTCAGCGAGACTAGAAGATCAAGGGAGAGGAGGAGGAGGGGCTAAGAGGGGGCCTGTCGACTGTTTTGTTGCCGTAGGTCAAGACATTTCACACTCGGTTAAGCGTCTGACTCCGTGTGACACTTGAATGCATTGCTGTGAGAAAATGATTTAGAAAACTTAACTGTAAATAGAGTGGAATTTCTATTACTCAGTCATGTATTCACTGAACGCAAAAACTTGCGGTAAATTTTGATTTCAAATCAATTTTAAATAGCCCACATCCGTTTTGCACCGAAATGCAGCTAGTGGAAACAATGCGAGTGATTAATGGGAATATTAAGGTGGCAACGCCTTGAAATCCCAGGAAATATGACAAATAGTGGATCAAATAGAAAGGGTGGCAGCGCCTGCAGGCGCTTAAATGCCAAAATATGGAATAAATAAGATAAACATATGGTCACCCCTTTAAGAGGAATGTAGCCCTAATATGCGAATTAATAAATAAACAGCAAAATTAATTGTGAATACCTTTATTTGCATTCAATTCACAGTTGAACGTAGCCGGAACTGGAAGAGAGCAGAAGACAGCGGCTTCCAATGGGTCTTCAATTGAGCAAGCGAACAGCAGACGTTGACAGCAGCAGCAGCAGCAGCAGCAGAAGCAAAATTCATAGAAAATCCATTAGCGAAGCGAATTCGGAGCAGCACGAAGAATTGGAAGAAATTGTCGAAGCTGGCGGCACGAATACAACAACAACAACAGCAACAACAGCAACAACGGCAGCAGCAGCAGCAGCAGCCGCCGACGAGGCGTTAGCTGAGGTGCGACAAATTATAATTAAAATACAATTGGCTAAAATGGAGAATGGCAATCAGCAGGAGGAGGCGCTCGTGGTAGTCGGAGGGGGAGAGGGAGAGCGCGAGCAATTGCCGTTGGCAGAGGGCGCCGCTGCGTCTGCTGCGGACGACGCAGCCAATGCAAATGAGCAGCGAATGGGCGCAGGTGCGAGTCGAACTGCGGGCAGTTCTTCAACGGAAGCACCGAAAAAACCAAACGAAAGACAAATTGTGAATAATAACAATTTAGCGGGAAGCGCTGCGTCGGTGTCGGCCTCTACGTCAGCGTCGGCGTCGGCGTCGGCGGTGAGAATGTTACAATTGCACGATGATGACGTCGTCGTCAACGACGTCGTCGGCGAAGAAGGCGAATTGGAAGTGGCATTATCGTCGCTGCTACGTCGCAGCAGCGGCGAAGGCGTCGAGTATTGTGAGGTGCTCCAGCCGCAGCCAGTTAGCGAAATGCTGTCGAGCGGACAACAACGTGCGCAAGGTGAGCTCCAGAGCGAATTCATTCACAAATATACAGTTATTTATTTTCGTCTTTATTTCTCTCGCTCTCTTTCTTCAGCAGCAGCTAGCACTAGCAGTAGCAGCAGCGGCGGGGGCAACAGCTGCTGTCGCAGTCGCAGCAGCAAAGGCTTCTCAGCGAATTCAGCTGCTGCAGCAGCCGCAGCCGCAGCCACATCGAAGCAGCGACGCTGTTGCAAGTGCAAATGTCGTGATGCGTTGCGTGGAATACGCGGCATACTGGAGTCCAGCTCGAGCAGCGCTCAGGCCAGCAAGGATAAAAAGGAAGCAGCCGCAGCGCCTAGGAATAAAACGCGCAGCAGCGCCGACAGACGTTCAACGCCGCCGACGCTAAGCAGCAGCAGTGGCAGCGCAGCAGCCGCAGCAGCAGCGGCATCGCAATTGCAGCGAATTCAGCGCAACTCGGTGGCCATTGCGGAGCCAAGCCAATTGGCAATTTGGGCAGCGCCTCCGAATGGCATTGGCGACGTCATCATTCGCATCAGCTCGCAGCCGATGCCGCAGTTCGTCGTGGAGCCCGCTGCGCCCAGCCAAAATAATCGCAACACGCTGCCCATGGTCGCCGCCATGGGTCACAATATACGTCTGGTTACCGCAGAGGGAGCAACGCCTGCTGCTGGGACGGCAGCTCTGCTGCCCCTCGCCATCGAACAGACCTGCCCGCCAACGGTGAATGCGTACGGTGCCGGTGTAACGGTGCATTCGCAGATAGACTTCATGCACTGTCTGGTCCCGGATCTGGAGCGGATCATCAACAGCAGCTTCTACTGGGGCAAGATGGACCGCTACGAGGCGGAGCGCCTGCTCGAGGGCAAGCCGGAGGGCACGTTCCTGTTGCGTGACTCTGCGCAGGAGGAGTTCCTATTCTCCGTTACATTCCGCAAGTACGGACGTTCGCTGCATGCGCGCATCGAGCAAAGTGGCCACAAATTTAGGTGAGTCGATGCATATATAAACAGACATAAATATACGTGAATGTGTATGTACATATGTAGATACACACATACATACATACATACATACATATATGTACATACAGACATATTTACATGTAGCTAACAGTGAAATGCCGTATATTGGAAAGTGAGAGCTCGTGCCCCTTCCATGTTAGAGTTGAGAGTTGTGCTGTCGTGTGTTATCGATAATACACAATTAATCATCAAGCACATTAATGAGTTCCAAGTAGCTCCAAAAAGGTGTCTAGCGATGACTTGTCTTATTGTGCCGTGCAAATTCACATGAACCAGATCCGACGACATTTAACGCGCAGCACTAAAAGTACATATTTATTCATGCTAAATTAATTGCTATAAAAAGAGATTCCAGCTAAATGGGGTTTCAGGCTAAAAACGGTTAAAACGTCAAATAGCATTTCCAGCTAAATTGCTCAAGCACAGCATCATTCATTTAAATTTAAATTGTAATTTAAATTTAATTAAATTCATGCTGAACTTTCAACTAATTTTGTAATTTCTGTTGTCGTTGCAGCTTCGATTGCCATGATCCTTGCGTGTTTGCTGATCTAACGGTGACCGGCCTGCTGGAGCACTACAAGGACCCGTCGTGCGTCATGTTCTTTGAGCCCTGCCTGACCATGCCGCTGCACCGCCGCCAGACGTTCTCGCTGCAGGAGCTGGCGCGTGCCACCATCGTCTCGAATACCACCTACGACGGCATCAACCAGCTGGAGCTGCCCGGGCGTCTCAAGAGCTATCTCAAGGAGTACCACTACAAGCAGAAGCTGCGCGTCAAGCCCTGCGACGCGCACACGCCGGCGCCGTACTACGCCAACATATAGTCCACGGCAGCGCTGGCGGTGGCGCCACCTGTTGTCGAGTTGCCGCCGGCGGGCTTCTCCTACTACGAGGACGTCGACAGCAGCGGCAGCGACGGCGACGACGACGAGGCGGTCAACATACGGGTCTCCTATGTGCAGCATGCCGAGGTGCTGGCGCAGCTGCAACAGCCGCAACAGCAGCAGCAGCAGCGGCAGTTGATGCGTCTGCCAAATCGCCTGTTCCACGCGCTCGCTCGTCTCTCGGCCAGTTTGAACTGTTATCAGCCCAGCAAGCGCAGCGCCTGATGCACACGAGCGATGAGCGAGATGAGAGAAAGCAAAGCCAAACACAGAATTCGAGACAATCCCAGTGCATCGCCAACTCCATAGGAAAAGCAAAGAAAACAAAACTAAAATATGCAGAATCAAAATATGATATAAATAGTTAATGCAAATAGCCTTTGTAAACTAAACATAAGTATTAACTAAACAAACTGAATGATCCTCTCCTATATATACATAGAATAGGCATGTCTGGTATTATATATATATCTATCTACACATACGTATATATCCCATATATTGGCGTGCCCGATCCACAACTCGCTGCGCATTTGTTTCCCAAATAAGAAGTATTTTAGTAATGCGAATGCATTTGTTAAAGTATTTTATATGATTTTTGTATATTTTGAACACTTTTTGTATATATATGTATTTTACGAATATATAGCCCCTCCCCTCCCTCACTTAGGCGTATCTAGATATTACAACTCTCATTAGCCAAATTGCAAACAAAAAAAAGAAAACAAAGCAAATGTTTAATTTATGTATACATCAAATAATAGTATTTTATTTATTTATTCTAATTGTAAATTGTGGCTGCGCTTCAACTATATATGTATACATATATATATATTCTAAAGCTCCCCCTTCCCCAATTGTAAATACATAAATATACAGTTATATCTAAATCAATAAGCATTAGTTTATATTTAAATACTCCTACTAGGTGGTTGCTGTTAATCGTAAACAAACAATTTAAATATTATCTATATTATATATTATGTGTAAATTATGCCATTGTTTCATAACAAATAGTTACATATCGCAATGTTGTACATGAGAATGCTGTGTATGAGAACAAATAAAAAACGGACAACTATTTGCAACAAGTAACCTAAATGTATACTTATTTATTTCATTTCATTATTGAGTGTATTCATAAAATATTCCATTTCGAAATTGTTTTGTTTTTCTATCGCGCATAATTAAATATTTTCAAAGCGCGCGCCAAACTTATTGTTTACGTTGCTCACCAACACTGCACATGGCCAGTGACAATTGCTGATCGACCGACCGATGCAATTGCTTGCTATTCACACAAAATGTTAACATTTGATACGGTCACACTGTATACTATTATGTTTATACCTAATTAAATTATTGCCATTTTTACGCTCACTAAAAATTAAAACTGTATGCATTTACATTTAACAAATATGGTGAAGTGTAAAATACTCATTAATTCTACTTACAATAATTTATTATTCCATTGATTCAAATATTTTAAAATCCGCGCCACTCTCATTACAGCAGCCAACATTGCAAATGGCCAGCATTTTTGTCAATCGACCCGCCGCCACAATTCTTTGGCATTCACACAGAATGTCAACGTTATTTACGGTCACATTCCACTCATAGCATCTTGTTTTGTTTAAGTAAATTTAGTTTTTCATCTTTTTACACGCACAAATAACAAGAACGCTATATGATGTTGACATTAACACGCTGCGCCCTGTTGGTGCTCACACTAAACGTGTGCGGTAAGCTGTTTCGTCTAGCTAATTGGGCTATATAGCCTACTTAGCTAATTGTCCAATGTTGGGTGTGGTCTGCCAGCATTAACTAATTGAAATTTGCTTTTTGTATTACTCACTTGTTTAGGGAGCTTGGCCATACGCTGCTACCAGTGCTCATCGGACCAGGATCGCAAGGGGTACGACAGCTGCGGCGCCTACAAAGCGTTCAATCGCACCGAGCACATTGCCATTGAGTGCAACAGCGACGAGTCCCACATGCCAGGCTCCTTCTGCATGAAGGTGATACAGCAGGGACCCAGAGGCTTCATCTGTGAGTATATGCAGATCAATTGTTGCTCCCATTTGTTATATCTGCTTTGTGTTCCACTAGGGGATGGCCGCTGGCGTCAAGTAATACGTCGTTGTGCCTCGGTATCGGACACAGGTGTCACAGGCGTCTGCAATTGGGGCGTCTACGAGAACGGCGTCTACTGGGAGGAGTGCTATTGCTCCAGCGACAGCTGCAACGGCGCCAGCCTCGTAACCATGCACAAGTCTCTGCAGCTATTGCTGGGCTTTGCCCTGATGGCAGCTGCTGGAGCATTTATGCGCAGCTAGGAAGCTAGTCCCGCTGCCTCCACGAAGTGCCTTCTTTAGCTACTTGGAAGCTCCCATCACTCTTAGTTTAAGCGAATTGTATACACTCTGCTACACATTCCGTCCACATTTTGTATTTAACTTTAAGCCACCAAGTTGTACACCGAATCTCGAGAAATGAAGAGAGAAATCTCATATTTGACAAAGAGAAATGTATGTAAGGTTTATATATTTATATATTTTGTATTTATTTATCAGTCAGATTTAGAGTGCCGAAACTAAATGTATATACAGTTATTTAACTTCTGTAGTTGACGTCTCTGCGGTGTTTCCCCCAGAGACTAATGTCTTGAGTCCGCCCTCTGCCCAGCCGTTGTTGGGGTTCCTGGAAACTGCTGAGTAGACGATGGTGGAGCCATCCTCAAAGTGCTTCATGGCCAGGTAGGAGACTCCGTGCTCTAGCCAAACATGCATTTCGTCCGACTGCTGGTTGCCCTTATCCGATTTGCACTGTGTGTTGTACTGGAATAAGACAGGGCAAAAGTTATCTCTCTCTCTCTCTCTCTCTCTCTCTCTCTCTCTCTCTCTGTCTGCCTCTCTTTCTCTACTCTACTCTTCTCACCCATTTCTCGTATAGTCCCAGGGGCTGATGGACCTGGGTCCAGCGCAGCACCTGCAAATAGAAAGCGAGAAACTTGCGCACATGACGCTTGGTGACGCTCGAGCTGCTTCTATTGAATTTGGACAGATCCTCAAGGGTTTGAAAGCAAATCTCGCGATCCTTCGGCCGCGCCAAATCCTCGCCAATGCAATTAGCCACACGCATCAGACACTCGAAATTTTCGTCAAGTACTCGACCCTGAGCAGGATCAGACTTGCGGCCCATGCTGCTGTTTAGTTACGCCGTAAACATCTAGATTTCGATTTCAGGCTGAAAAATGTGATGGGAACAACTCACAGTTTGTGACTGAGTCTGATGGGAGTTATCGAAATAAGTCGAGTCTGTGACAAAAGTAGCTAAGATCCCCGATGAGTATTGGGTATTGGATAATCCTTGTGCTCTCCTAGTCGAGCAGTCCCTAGTAGACCACATCAAATACATTTTATATTCGTTTTATTGTTATCAACATTTATTTATGCAATTTTTGTTTTTGTTTTGTTTCTCTTTTGATTTTTTTTATCTTTTAATATGTTTACGTTTAATTAAACATTAACTTAACTGTTAATTAATTGTATAATTTGTTGTAAGTTTCTTTATATACGTAATGCCCAACTATTTCTGAAAAATTGCGCGACTGTTAACAGTTTTTGTTTTTTTTCTTTTTAATTTTTTTTTTATATATATATTTTGTTTTGTTAAAAATTGTACGCTAAAATTCAAGTATTATTTATTAATTTTTTATTTTCTGCCTTTTTTTTTTTTACCAATTAGACTAAAATCGACTCTGTTTGCTAACCTTACGTTTCATATATTGGATATACATATAGCTTGACGATGCGTTAAGTAAATTAATTTTGACTAGATTATAATACTTAAGGTCGAATCGAATTGCAACAAAGTTTTCCGTGTGGGTGCGTGAAAATAAGGAATTTTCTTTTACGTTTTCTTTTTCTAAGGTGCATGAGGAAGAGAGTGAGAGAGAAATAAGGACAAGATCAGGCTAAGCCCTGGGGCATAGCTCTATGAGCTTTACCATCTGACATTCTACAATTTAACTGGCCCCCAACTACCCCTACTATCCCTTCCCCTCGGCCAGTGACTCCACCAAGTTCCTTGACAATCCGAACGAAGTGAAAAAAATTTGCTCAATTTGAATTCTTTTTCGTAACTTTTCTCTATTTTGTTGATGAATGATCGAAGAGATGTTTGAAAACCCAGAATAAATGGACGTATGTGTAAGAAGCTAAAACCGAAAGCCAATCAAATTAGGGAATTCAGAAGTACAAAAGTTCAATGTAAGGCAAAGTCGTTTTTTTGGGCGTGGCATGGGTAGTATATTATAAGATAGTCTAAAGCATTTTTATAATTGAATAGAAAACTTGAATGAAAATTTTAAAAATTAAATGTAAATTAAAAATTTAAAAATTTTATTAAAAATAAATATTTTTTAACTATTATAAAAAAAAAAACATTATTATTACTATTTTTTAAATTAAGAAATAAATAATTTTTCTTAGTTTCAAATTATAAATTAAATTATATTACATGAACAAATTATTTGAATAATCAATAATATTAATAAATATTCAACTTAAATTTTCCCTAAATATTTTTAAAATCAAAATGAGCTTATTAATAAATTATAATGAGAAAAATTCTTGCGCGAGCGGCGCATCGTTGGGTTGCGCTTTCTTTTCGCTCTCTCTCTTTTTCTGGTTACTTTCGTGCCACGCCCAAACAACGGCTGACGCCTACGCCCGGTTGAGGGACAGAGCTAGAGACACATACACACACAAACATTATTTAAGACTAGTTTTAAACATTAAGCGTTTACTGTTGTTGTTGTTTTTGTTGTTGCTGTTGTTGTTGTTGTTGTTGTAAATGAAATCACAAATTGAAGCAGAAAGCAGAATAGCCATCTCCAATTGGACTCAGATTGGACTCCAATTGGCTGTCACTTCAAACCACGATGGGCGTGCGAGCATCCAGAGTTTTGCTATCCGTCAGCGTGGAGGACAATGAGCAGGAGGTGTTGTTGTTGTTGAGGCTAGAGTCCTGTTGCTCCTCCTGCTCCGCATTGTTGTTGTCGCCCGGCGGCGCATGCAGCTGCACTTGCTCCGTTATGGTCAACGGCTCATCCCCAATCTCCGACTGTGGCGACTCGAGGCATGGCGGCGGAGGCGTATGCATCGCATACAAGCAGCTGCTCGACGTGGTCGAAATGGTTGAGCTGCTCTCCACGCTGGGCAGCTCCAGCTCCAGCTCCGGCTCCAGCTCTGGCCCCGACTGCAGCTGCGTCATCAGCGTCTCCTCCTCGCTGCTGGTCAACTCGTTCAGCTCGGCGACAGTGCGATGTATGCGTACATGCTGCACTTCATCATCGTCGAATTTGCTGTTCAGCTCGTAGTACAGCTGCAAGCTGTCCTCCACAATGGGCGCAAAGATGCGATGGAATTGACGCAGCAAATCCGAATCGTTGCCCTGCTCCAGTCCCAGCTCATCCTGCTCCCATTCCCGCCGCTGCTGCTGCTGCTGCTGCTGCTGCTGCTGCTGCTGCTCGTCTGCTTGTTGGTAGAAACTAAAATCAATTGCATTATCCACGACCTCCCTTCCATGCTTATCAACAACATTTATTGAGCAATCTTTAACACTTCGTTGACCGCGTCAGACTTTGCCCTTCGGCGATTTGCACTTTAGAGGTGTCGCATTGCCGGTCAAACTGCAAGGAAATTGGGATTGTTAGGATTAAACATATATGGATATGTTATATAAAGTAATATTTATTAAGTTCGTTAAAGAATTTTTAAAAAACTTTTATTTTTACTATTTAAATTAATGATAGTGTCCTACCCTTCATCCTTGCCGGTCTGTGTTTGCGCCGTGGAAACCGTGCTCTTGCTGTAGGGCGCCTGGAATGAGGTTGACGTGATGGTAAAGTAGCCGCCAGGCTTTGGCTTCAGATGTCGGTTGTTCATCTGCATGTGCACAGTCTTCATGAACTCGATTTGATGCGCCAGCTTCTGGATTTGTTCCTGCACGGGAGATGAGCTTGAGGTTAAGGAAAGTCTTACACGCTTGCAATGGGTGTCATACTTTGAGTTCCTCGTTCTCCTGGTACAGATCGGGCGACTCTTCGGGCACCAGGCCCACGCCATTGAGCGAGAACGAGGCTGTGATGCTGCGCACCTTGGCCTTCTGATCCCACTTATCGCCCTGGCCCTTCAGGACGCGCGCGATCTTCGGACCAAAGACAAGGGCAATGGTCGTCGTGGTGGATAATTGGGTGCGCACAAAGCCCAGCATGTATTTGTAGTCGGGTCCAGCATTTGGAAAGAGCATTACACTGCAAGGATGAAGAAAGAGAGCGGTGGATATCAGAGAAGATTTGGAGCACCTTTAAGGCAGCCATATATGGAATTATATGAATTAGGACAGTGCTTATATATATATATTATTATGTATTTTTCACTCTTAGTCAATCAGCCTCAAAAGCTTGCCTTTATCAGTCAGTTAATCACTCAATCAATCAAGGTATAAGCCCATTGGTTATGCTGTTAGTTTCTGCAGTCAGTTAGTCAATTCGTCAATCAGATCTGTCAATCATCAGCCAGTCAGCTTGTCAATCATAAATAGTTGGTCCATCTGTTGGTCCTGTTGGTCATCAAGCACATGTCTGTCCCTTAATAGTCAGTTCCTTAGATGACAGTTAATCAGCCAGCAAACCTATCCATCAGTCAGTCAATCAATCAAACAGTGAGTTAATCAATCAATTAAGTAAACAGTCAGTTAGTTGTTAGTCAATCATCGTATTCCCAGTCAATAACTAAGTCTGTCAGTCAATCAATCAAATCGTTGATCACTCTTTCAGTCACTCAATCCCTTACTCCCTTTGTATAAGCATGCTGAAGTGGCCTTTTAATTCACTTGTATCAATCCTCACTTTTTTTCAACTCAACCTAACCTAATCCAATTTGAATTCCCGACAGACTCGGAAAACTTTATGCAAAAGGAACTTGACCTACGACTAAACCTTAAACTTAAAGTACAGAGGGCAACAAGTTGAGCCTTGCATGGGAAAAGGGAGAGGGGGGAAGGGAAGTTGAACAACACAACAACAAATTGCATTAATTATCAAAACACTTGAAAGGATTTCCATTTGGCAGGCAGAAGGCAAGAGTCGGACAAGAGCTTGGCAATGAAATCCGTGGAATGTCTGTGTAAACAAACGGACGGACGGAGGGACGGAGGGACAGGGCGAGACGAGAGGCAAGCAGCAGGCAGACAGACGGAGGGACAGAGGGATAGAGGGACTGACAGATGGATAGACAGCTGCGGAGGCTGACAGCATGTCCTTGCAGGGCGACAAAAAGGATTACAACGGAAATGCGCGAGCGCACAAAGCCAGGGAATTTAATTAAAATTGTGGGCGTGGCAGAGGCAGTGGGCAGATAAAATGCCAGGACATGCGTAGGAATTAGGAAAAAATAGATAAAAACAGAAATGGTGTGAGAAGCTCTTAAGAAAGAAAAACAATTTAAATAGAGGACTTCAACAGGTGCGACAGGTGCGACAGATGCTGGCAGGACTTACTGAAAAGCCACCATAGCAATATTCACAATGGCTATATTGTAGATGGCATAGGAGATCAGGCGAGCCTCGTTGTAGAGGCTCTCCGCATTGCGCACGTTGTAGCAGACGCGGATGCCCCAGGCGAGGAAGAGGACCTCTCCTATGGCCAGACTGTGATCCCACCAATTGTACGAGCACTGCTTGAACTTCAGGTGATTCTGATCGTAGATCTGTGAAGGTATGAGAACTGTTATAACTGCGAATTGATTCAACTCTTCTCTCCGTCACTTACCACCTCAGCGTAGGGCGTGGCGGAAATTGTCCAGGTGCCCAGATAGATGAGCATTACGAGCAAGATGGGCACCATCCACTGCAGCAGCTGCTGGTCATTGAGCTTTATCTTATGCGCCGACTTGACGCGATATGTCAAGGAGACACTGCGAGGCAAGAGAGTTGTACAAAGAGAACGAGAGAGAGAGAGGGGGAGGGGGGTGGATCGTGGGTAGAGTTGACTTACCGCCAGGTCTTCATGAGCAGTGAGGTGTAGGTGATGCAGAAACCCATATGACGCGTCCATTTCGTGGCAATGCACCAGGTGGTATCCAGGTAGGGAAATATGGCGACCATCTATAAAGAGGGTAAAGATATTTGATTAGGCTTAAATATATATATCCTTAGAAGTTGATATAGAGACTAAGGGTATTTAGTTAAGAAAGATCCAAACTCTGAAGTGATTACGACCAAAAGTTGTTAATTTTCTTTATTATAAGAAATTTCTTTATTAAAAGAAGATTTCCCAAGCGAAAAGAAATCGAGCTGAATACAAATGCAATTTCAACAGAAAGAAGAAGAAAGTCCTTGCTAGGCTGAGTTTGTAGGTTAATTTGCTGCGGATCTCTTCGATGGCACTCGTCGTTCGTCATCATCTTTGGCATAGTTGTGATCCATTGGTTTGTCCTTGTCATCCGCGCCCTTGGCCTCGTTGACGGCTGTCTTGGTCTGGGGAGTCATGCACTGATTGCAGTCCTCCATGCCGGGCGTATACTCTTCGATCTGGATGGTTGTCTCGAAGAAGTTGTAGCGCTTGTGAATCAATGTGGTGGCCTTCTCGAGAATGACTTGTGGATCGGCGTCCTTGCTGATGGCCAAGTGGGCGGAGAGGGCAATCTTGTTGATGCTCAGCGCCCAGATGCGTAGGTTGTGGACATGCTCCACCCCTTCGATGCTGAGGAATGTGCGCTGCACCTCGCCGTAGTCCATGTAGTCGGGTGTCGCCTCCATGAGCACCATCAGCACGTCCTTCAAGATGCGAAAGGTAACGAGCAGGACGATCACCGAGAAGATGAACGTGCAAATGGAGTCCACAAATGCCCAGGTGGGCTTAAAGAATATAATCAATGCGGCCAGGAAGACGCCAAAGCTTTGAATCATATCGCCGATGACATGAATGTAGGCGGCTCTCACGTTGATGTTCTCCTTGTCGACCCGGGTGCATTGGGCCGAAACGGAAAGTGGCAGCAGCTGCTGCTGCTCCTTGAGAACGGGACTAACAATATTCGCCCTGGAACCGGTCGGAACGGTGGACGTCTCGGACGGCTTCAGGCGCAGCCTCGGCTCTCTGTGCGAATGGGCTTGCGCCGTGCCGTGGGAGTGGCCATGCGAGTGGCCATGGCCCAGCTGGATGGCCATGATGATGTTGAAGGCGATCGCCAGTGCGGAGGTGATTAGCATGATCTTGGCGTCCACATCATGCTTGTTCGTGACCAGGCGCTCTATGGCCATGTAGACCAGCACGCCCGTGATGACCCAGATGAAGTAGACCGAGAGCATGGCGCCGATCACCTCCGCGCGGTACCAGCCAAAGTTCATGCGCTGTGTGGAGGGGCGGGCGCTCAGGTATAGGGCGAACAGGGATATGAGAAAGCCGGCTAGGTCCGTTAGCAGATGTGCTGCGTCCGTGGCTATGGCCAGGCTGCGAGAGAGTATGCCGCCAATGATCTCACAGATCATGAAGGTGAGACAGAGCGCGCTAGCTATGATCAGCTTGCGCCTGGCGATCTTATCGACGCCCTCGTCGTGCCTTTCGTAATGGCAATGATCCCGGTAGGTCGTCGTTATGTGCGAGTGCCGGCCGATTATGGTCAGAGTGCGCATCGACTCGGAATGCTTCATATGACCGGACTGGGCCGTCTCATCCCTATCCTTTTCCACTTCGTTCTCCTTATTCTTATCGTTGTCTTTGCCCCTGCCCTGCGATTTGTGATCTTTGTCTTTCAGCAGCTGTGGCGGGATTATAATCACTTCATTGGGCAACGGCTGCATTGCGACTTGTTGTACGTGGTCCTGCTGTGGAGGACTTTTGGGATCTGCCGGGAAAAAGTAGCGCAATATGTTGCTAGCCAAGGAATTGCTAGTAGATGGAATATCCCCTTCGACAGCCGAACCGTCTTCAACAGGCGAAGCTCTTGGCTGTTCGGTGAAGTTGGAACTACCGGGATGAGAGGCTCCACTGCAGGTCATAGCTGGCACCAGATGGCGTAAGCTGGAACTCGACTGATTCTGGGCAATAGAGTCCTTATTGGCTGGGCTGACCAAGGCGCTATCAGTTGGCACAGCAGTAAGTATGTTAATGTTGGGTTCACAAGGCATTGGTGTAGACCTCTCCAGTGGAATGACCGGATCGTGAGCAGTCTCTGTAATCACTTGATTTGTTGTTGGCTTCTCTCTGCCAAACCTGGACAGATTTGGCGGCTGCTCCACGCTGACTGGCTCTGACGTACTAGGCAAAGCAGTTTCTTGACTTACTGGGCTGCTGTCGATTGGCGTTGGCCTAGATCGGCCGTAGATCGGAAAATTATATATCAAATTAATAATCGGCTCCTCCAGTTGCCTAGTCGCTGAAGTGATGGCCTTTACAGTTCGTGTTAAAGTGTTGGATGGCTCGATCTCGGTAGCTATAGCCGTTGACTGTTGCTCATTCACTTCGATTAGTTGATTAGTTGCGGCTAAACTTGCGGCTGCTGTATCTAGATCGGGCTCCCTAGACATGATTGTATTGATGCTTTGGCCTGCTCTTGCACCCGCAGTTTGGTCTGTAATTATATTTTGGTTTCCTTGTTCAGCTGTCATTGGATATTTAGGCCCCTCAACTCGATCAGCTCTCATTAAAGATTTCATCTCTTCATCCTGGGATGAAGCTCTTTCAGTTGGCGAATCTTCTGAGTTGATTGAACTGCTGGACAGTCGCTCAGCAGTTTCTTCAGACTGATTCAAGAAATCGGGCATTGTAGAGCCATTTTCAAACAGAGGCTCTTGATAAGTGACTACGTAGGAGCCATCTGTTTCAATAAGTTCTTCGGTTTCACCTTCTTCTTCCAGGTCATAGAAATCTTCCTCGGCCTGTACTATTGAGCTGCTGCTTGGTACTGGAGTAGATCCTATATCTATCACTACGTTGCTCGGCATTGGAGATGATCCTGCATCTATTACTCCAAAGCTTGGTACTGGAGTAAATCCAGCATCTATTAGCCCAGTGCTTGGTATTGGAGTAGACCCTTCATATATTAGTCCAGTGCTCGGTATTGGTGTAGCCTCTTCATCTATCATTCCAGTGCTCGGTACTGGACTAGTTCCGGTATCTATTATTCCAATACTCGGCGCCGGAGTAGTTCCGGTATCTATTATTCCAGTACTCGGTACCGGTGTAGTCCCGGTATCTAATATTCCAGTGCTCGGTACTGGACTAAACTGTGTGCCAATTACACCCGGGGTGGACTGAACTTCTGTTGCCTCCATTGCCTCATCCACAAACTGATTGGGGGCAGTGATGTTGATAGACTCGGTAAGCTTTTCATTGGGCTTTGGTCGATTTCTTTTAAACGATGTTAGATTTGCAAAAAAGCCGCTGGTTGCCTTCTGTGTGGGGTGCTTCTCCTGACTCTGCGCTTCTGCAGTCGATTTCTCGACTGCCGACGATTCTGCTCTACCTCGACCAAACAATGGCAAATTTCTGAAGAGCTTTGTCTTCTTGCCCTCAGGCAACGCTTTCGTTGTTGATGGCTCCTCATCGCTGGGCTCTACGTTGAGGCTTCGTCGAAATGAACCCGTTAGTATATTGATGGCCCCTGTCGAGTGGTTGCTTGGCTCCAATACGTTCTCTGGCCGGGCGGCGACATGTGCCTCTTTGGCTGGAGTTGCTATGGCAGCAATGGCTGCTTCGGCTTGATCCCTGATTTGAAAGTATGACTTGGGCCTGGAGGCAGCTTCAATGCGTTCCAATTTTGATTCTTCGTCCGGTGTTGTGGGCTCCAGTCGCTCGGGCTTAACCTTAAACTGCAAATAGTTTGGCATTGTCGTCTGCTTGCCAGCCTCGGGTTTCTTTAATGGGTCCGATCTGGGCTGTTGCTCTGCGGGCAGAGGCTCAGTCGAAGTGCCTGATGGCATGGCTGTTTGCTTCAGTCTCTCGCCCGAGGGTTCTGCTTTCTTTGGCTTGTGTTCTGGAGTGCTCTTCTTGCTGACGGCGGTATTTTCCGCTTGAATTCCCACATCTGTCACAGTCTTGAGCCATTTCCTTTGTGTTTCTGGCGACGCAGTCTTCTTGAGTTTCTCAATTAGATTGCCAATGTGGCGGGGCTCCGCCGGTTGCCTGCTTGGCGTTTGCTTCTGTTTGGGGTCGATATCGGGCACCTGAACCATCTCTCTTAAGGCTGCCTGCATGGCTTCCTCGTCCTCCTGCTCCTCCACCTCCTGCTGCTCCTCGCCAACGTCACTAGCCTCGTTATCGCTATCGTTGACATGGGATGCGCCTTTGCGCTCGTTCAGAGCTCGTTCCTGGTCGCTCATGTTGCAGTAATGTTTTATTGTTGCTTTAGTTTGTTTTACACACTTACAAAACCCAGACTCTGATTAAAAAATCAGTTACGTTTTTATTTAGTAAATGAGACGCTTGAATGCCCCCCAGCTCCCCCAGTTCCCCCAGCTGCCATAACAACGAGCATCCGCATGTCCACGCAACCTTTTAACCCATTTGTTGTGCTCGTGTTACTCGCAGGCTTTTGCCATTGTTCTCTTGTCTTTTATGCGTCCGACGGGAGTTCCATTGTCGTTTGGCTAATGTTGACAGCATCATTGTAAACAATACTGGAATGTATTTGTACGTGGCTAATGCTAGTATACTCTGCACGCCATGTGAGTACTGCTGTCAAATGGAGCAAGAAATGTTGGGCAAATCTGTCGAGTCATCAAAGTTCATATATACACGAAGTTGAGTATGAACCAGTTGAAATATTGCTGATATTTAGCAACTGCTAATCATTTGTTAACAGTGCTTGGTTAACCAATGATTAGCTGTTATTCACACTTGCTCTTTGTTTAACCATTCAAGATGATATTTCACTTACATTTACATTAAATAAGGGGTAGTACATAAGAAAGACTGTTATCAATTATGTTAACTAACATTGCGTGAGACTGTGTATGCCTAGTTAACATTACCATAAAAATGTAAATAACAGCCTGAACTTGCATTTCAAATCTTATGTTAGCTAGACTGTTGCACTTCAAGTAGCTCTGTAAACTAGCTGTTAAAGGTTAAACTAAAATTCCAAATGTTAAGGCATCTCTGTATATACATATATCGTGCCTTATTAAAGAAGTCTGTCTCTGCTCTAATCAACTATAAAATTCATTAGCATGCAAGTTCACATTCCTTTAGTTAATATTTAACAGCGTGGCTTTAACAGTAAAGCCACATCAGACTAACACTTTTAGAGCCTCTCGAACTAAATAATTAATCGTGGGCAAAGTTTTCATTAACTCTTGCACAGTTACAAACGGCATAGCGTAAGCTGGAATGCCGTCGACAGAGGCGAGTGCCTAAAAGCCGCATTTAAAAAGCCATAAAACGGAGTCGTATGTTGCCTCAGCCGCAGGTGCTGCGAGTGGTGAGTGGTGAGTGCGGCTTTACAACATGTGGGTCAATTGTAAATGGGACCAAAATGAGACCCTTTGTCACATTAGCAGCCTAGCCTGCCTTTGTCCTGCCATCCATTCGTAATGCTCTTTGTGTGTAGCTCGACTTTTAATGGGTTAAGTAGCCAGCAGAGTGTAACGCACTCTCTCCCTCTTCCTCTCCCTCTCCCTCTGCCCACCTCTCTCTCTCTCCTGGTCACATGTTTCATAGCTACTCACCTCCAAATACATAATGGCACAGCCAATGAGCGTGATCATCAGGAAGATGGGGCTGGCCACCTTGAAGACTTTGACCCGCCTATGCTTGAAGAGATAGCAGAGCAGCACAAGGGTTCCACAGGCGCAGCCAATCGAAATGGTCAGCAGAGATATTCTGTGGAATAAAAGGAGTTCCAGATTATATATGTGTGTAGAGTCGAATAGAATTGGATATAGGAAATAGATCAAAGATATGTTATAAATAAAATAGGATATTAGCTATATAGATGGATCACTTTCACTATTCTATGTTCGTTTCCTGTCATGTCTTCTCATCTCCTATCCCAGAGGTTCAACTCACCTGAAAGGCCAGTGATAGTTGGCCAGGCAAGGCTCGGGTCCGGTGCAGGTGTCACAGCCGGGGGCGCAGGGCAAACACTTGAATACGTCCGTATAGTAATTGCTTATATTGTCCTGATGCTCCTGCCAGGCAATCTCCATGATGGTGCCATTGAAGCCATCCGGATGCCGCAGCGAATAGTAGCCCCGCTTGCAGAGGCACTGATACGAGCCGCGCGACCAGCTGCTGCTGCTGCCGCTAATCATGCCCGGCAACAGCTTGGCCCCGCTTATTGTCGTTGACTCCGAGCTGGGCTGGCGATAGTCGCACTGCAATAAGATTGTTAATTAAGGCATAGTCTGTATGTGTGTGTGTGTGGAGGGGGGAGCAGCGCTGCTTACCACCATGGAGGCGCGATGGCATTTGTGCGAGCTGTGAAATGCTTGCAAGTCTCGGATGGACTCCACGTCGTAGCTGGCAGCAACTGTTGCTGCTGTGGCGCGGCGCACTGTCGACTGCCGCAGCAAGTGGGGCGGAGTGCTGCTGCTGCTGCTGCTGAAGCGATACGGCAGTGCATCGCACTGATTGACACGCAACGAGCTCACATCAATGTCCACGCTGATGAAGCCGCGCAGGCCGTGCCGCCCACTCGGTGGTATTGCAATGCTGTAGGAGACGAGCCAGCGGCTCAGTGAGCAGGAGAAGTACGGATAGGTCCACCAGCCCTTGTAGTAGTTGTTCGGCGGACTGGGCGCAAACTTTGGTGACCGCAATGTGGGCGTGCTGCTCTCATCATCAAACCTGGTAAGAGAAGGGGGAGATAAGTGATTGACTTGCGGAATACCCTGTCTTTCGTTTGAGTAAATAAATATAGTTGAGAATACGCCCATTCCTACTGTTAGTACTTTATTGTATAGCTCTTTAAATATTAGGAGAAAAAAAAGAACTATTGATTTGTATCGAGAGACTGGAGTAAGAAATTAATCAGACTCATCTGAAAGTGAAATGGACAGATCTCTATTATTTTTCTGATATACCTCAATAGTTATGGAGATTAAAAATATCTGGAATAGTCTGATAGGCATGAGGTATATGTAGACGTAATGTGTAATATAACCCTTCAGTTCAGTCTGCGTGCATAATTAGGAAAAAGTCATCAATTTGCTCTCATTGTGCGCTCTCCACTTACCAGGGGTAACTGTGTGCGGGCTTTTTACCAATTTGCAGGCCCTCCTCCTCGTAGCGCTGCGTGTCGGTTAGTTTGTCGTGGCCGCCCTTTACCCACCAGACGTACGATTGGACTGCGCCGTTGGTTAGGTTCAAAGCTAAAATGCGTGCTCCGTTTATGTATTCATCAGTGAGCAGGCCCTTGGCCAGCGCATCCGAGAGTCCTGAAACAAAAAAGGGAGATGCTTACATACATATATTTTGGTATGGAAATTTGTATGTGCATAGGCTGCAAGCGCCGGGGGAATGTAGGTCAGCGCACAAGCGAAATGTGGAAATTAATTTAAAGTCTACTGCGGAAATGAGGAAATTAAATGCGAAAACAGCGAAACGAAAACAGTCGAATAAACAGACAAAAAGCAGACAAATTCATTAATATTTCATTTACGGCACTTAATTGGTTATTGCAGCACAGAAACCTTTGCATTTTAATTGCTATCGCATTGTTTTAATTCTTATTTTGATTTCAAATTTCATTTGAGCAATTTTCTGCATACTCAACCAGGCTCAATTCGCTTGCGTTGCATTTCGTTGCTGTAACGGCTCCTGTAAATACACAAAGCGGAATTCGCTTTCGCTGCGTTTGCGTTTGCGTTTTTCGCTGATATTTTGTAATGCACACAGCTGATAAATATGCGTATGTATGTATGTGTTCGGTCCGCTATCGCTTCAATTGTCTTTTTCGCCGAGCCACGACGTGAATGACACTGAATAGTTCAGTTTGCGATAACCGCAAATGGCGAATTTAACGTGCCTTGCGACGACGACGAATCTTGAAGGTGTCATTCTTTTGAGCGTTGCTTTTTGCTTGGTAGCGGATCGCGAATAGTGTGCAAATTGTGTGAAAGGAAAGAGAAAGTGAGGAAACGTGGTATTGAACAGATAAAAATCAGAGATGTATTCTCATTAATACTCATATACATATGTAACTACTGATGTATTGTTCGCTTAGTTTTTAATTGCGTTTGGTATTTAGCGTATCGCGATTCGCCTTTGATTTTGCTTTAATGTCGTTATTCGCCGTGTCGCGACTGGAATGATTACGACGTTTGCTTAGCAGCGAATTGAACCGACAGCGAGGCAATGGTTGCCATTCCATTTAGAGTTTGTTTTGCTTCATCGCAGAGCTCAAGTAAAGCGAAATGTGTAAAAGGGAAATTACAAGGCTCCACTGCGCGAGGAAGGAAATAAAACAACGTCACGAAGAGATGAAGATTAATAATTCACTTAACGCGCCTAATTGCTGCTCATTGCAGCACATAAATATTTGCATTTGATTGCATTTACATATTTTCCTTATTGCCTGCGATTGAGCTGTTAATTTTTCGCGAACTCATTCTACAATGATTCCTTATGGCGTCGGCTGTTAATTCGCTTTCGCTTTCGCTTTCACATGCGTACTTCGCCGTGCGTGGACTGAAATGACACCTCCTACTGTTGCTGAATGGCGAATTAGCTGGCCTCGCTACAAAATGAATAATTGCAGGTGTCATTCCTCTGAATGTTCTTTGTTGCATTTTATTGAATTGCAAATGCTATGAGCAATTGTAATTTTTTTAAAGATTCATTGACACTTTTGTATTTAAGGTAAGTTACAGTATTTCTTTTAATGTTTAATCAGCATATGTGTTAAGCTGCCCACGACCATGAATGTAAATTCAGCTTATTAAGCCTCATTATATTTGTTTGCACTTTTTCATACTTTGTAATAAATAATTGCCATTCCGAGTAAGCTGGAATTGATAATACCACGAAATTGTTGTGAATAAGCAGAAGCATCGTTATAGCACAATTATGAGCGCAACCCAATGCCAGTGTGACCGTTTGCAGTTCGAAAAATATATGTAGCTGCGCTGCTTAATTGTGCAAATTAAAAATTTGCCGTTACATTTCATTCCAGGCCAGCTGTCATTGCGATGTTGACCTTGAAATAGTTTTATTATATGGAAAAAGGCCCCATTAAGGGGCAAAAGAAATTGCAAGTATGTTTTTTTTAGCCTTGGTAGGGAAAAAATGGTCGACCACAATGATTAATATGCGCGAGGCGCACATAGACCCAGGCCCCAACCTACAACAACTGCTCCGGAAAGGCAGCCAGAGCGAGAGAGAGGGAAGGTGAATGCTGTCAAAAGTTAATATTTTTGCTCCCACACTTGCCTGGGCAGCCGCATTTCTGTTTGACTTGTTCCAAGGAACAAAGGCAACAAAGGCATGAAATGTTTACAAAGTAAACTTATTTAAATTCGATTAGCGCAACTTCCGTGCTATTTTTTCTGTGTGAACGTTTCTGAACTATACTTTAACCTAGAGAGGTATTCTAACTATATTGCGGAATATGAGCGTGTTCTAGATATAATATCTATACTAGTGTTGCTACAAGGTTGACCATATATTGATCTATTTAAACATCCTCATACAAGATGAAATTTTTGCACTAGGTGGATATACTAGATACATATACTAGATACCTCAAATTTACATTTAAGATTACGTTTCAGTTCAGAAAATGATCACTGCGGAACTTCTATTATAAACTTCTGTAATCTCAGTTCCTTTATAGTCTATTGAAAGGTCTTTAGTTTACGACGAAATAAGACCACGGATTATACATATTTGCTTTTTTTTCGCTTATATTATTATATTATATATATTATATATTATTATATTATTATGTATAGTGTCTTCGTAGGGGCGCAGGCGGCAGGCAACGTGTTGCCAGTAAATGTGGCAAGTTTTTGTGACGGGTGTTAAAATGAAATGCACACGACATAGTGAGAAGGCGGAAACGAGAGAGAGAGAGAGAGAGAGAGAGAGAAGAAAAGGGCTGCCTTATGTTGTCACAAAGTGTGGCAAGTTCAAGTACGGACAGGTTGGATGTTCTGGCGGCTCAACCTGATGGCAAACAGCATTAGCTGACGCCTGTCAAGCAGCTTAGATACTCACCTAACACATACGCAAATACACACACGTACACGGGGCTTATGTGTGTGTGTGTGTGTGTGTGTGTTATAGCCGTGTTTGTCATTCATCATCTGCGTGCGATTTCTTGCACTCGGCTCGCATCATCAATCTTTGAGAGCGACCCAACTTCACAATTTATGACCAGGCAGGGTAAGTGTGTGTGCGTGCGTGTGTGTGTTGCAAGTGCTTTGTGTGTAGGTGTCAGAAATAAACATGCGCAACTTGCAACAATTGTAAGCAATTTGTTTTTTCGCCTGCCTGCCTGCCAAAAGTTTTCTTCGTCTCTATGTAAAATTGCCAATTATTCAACTCGTCTGCTGCTGTCTCTTTCTCTCCCTAACTTTGCCAGCAGGTGTATGTGACAATGTGTGTGTGTATTGTTTTTATGGCTGCTGCTCTCTGGCTGAGTAATTAAATTTTAGCAGCGCTTCGCCTCGGCTTCAGCCCAATAAACCATTTAGCATCGAGACTCGCTGGAATTTCGACTCGAGTTGTTGACATCATCCGTTGATTACGAGACAAGGTTGAATTTCCCAACTTGTAGTTGATGGAGTTGGAAAACTATGGTTTATAATTGTTTAATCACATTCCTCAAACTCTTTGCGGCTTCATGTGTGCCAATAAGTGAGATGTGCAACCGAGCCACTTGATTGCGGCAACAGGTGATTAGGCAATTAGGATTCGTGCTTGAGCCCGACTTAACTAGCTACATATAACAATTACTTTGAAGTGTGCCAGAGCTTAAGAGCTCAGTTTGGGCTCAATTGATAATTGGGAAAGAGAAATTTGATTGACAATAATCTGTTGATTATGGCGTGTAAGGCAGAGAGAGACAGAGAGAGAGAGAGAGAGAGAGAGAGATGGATGTTTGTTTGCTAATTATGTCATTAGGGAAACGATAGCTTACTGCGCCTTTAGTTGTTTTCATATGATCCTTAAGACGGAATTCGGCTTTAAGACTTACACAAGGTCTCTTCTCTCACTCTTTAAGAATTAGTGTGGGACTTTAAAGGTGACTATAAGGGTCAGCATAACGTTGTACCTAAGGCTCTTTTGAAACTCACTTTAAGCTCAACATGTTCAGTTTTCAAGTTTTCTTAGTTGAATATAATAAGTGGAACGTAATACTACCATATAAATCCTTACAGACCAAAGGTACTATTTTTATATAGCTATAGAATAGTTTGAGAAGCTGTCATGGTTTGATATGGACTTTAAAAATGATTTAAACTATACTAAATATTATTTCCTTTTATATTGAATGCATTCATTAAATTATTTTTATGCGTGCGTATACTTGATATAAATGCAATGCATTTCATTAAACATTTTTGTGAGACCAGCAGCGATGCGGAAAACATTTAATCCTTTCATAAAGCGTTCCCCATTAAGGCTTTTATTTTTTTATTCTATTTACTTGAGCGAATACTTGGTAAAATTGAAATAAATTGCAAATAAATACTTTGATATATTGAATTTATTTTTCCATTTATTCATAATTTAATTACACATATAAATCTTTCTATTGCCGAGAAAAAATGTGTTGCTCAAAAAAAGGAAATTTTTCTGTTGAAAAAGCTGTGCATATATTTATACAGGAAATCACATGGAACTATTTGAGTGGTCACATAAAAAATTGATGCCTGTTTGCCTTGTGAAAAACCGAATGTAACCAGGCGTATGAGCGATATTTACATATACGGAGTGAGGGAAGTAGATTGGCATTGTGCAAGTCTGTCCGTCTGTCCGTCTGTCTGATGATGCAATTTCAAATCTGAGCTGATGCTGTCTGTCCCTTCATCTGCGTTGTCTATCGTGTAAAAGAGCTGCAAAATCTGGTGCCAAATCAGAGCCCGAATAAACGGCGAGTGGGACAGAATACAACTTGAAATTAAAAAAAAAAAGAGAACGAGAAGGCGAAGGAGACGGAAATACTATGTCGAGGGAGCTGTCGGCCAGCTGCATGCATGTGTTTGACAAAGGACATGAGCGAAGCAGAGACAAAGGCAAAGGCAAAGGCAAAGGGAAAGGGAAAGCCAAAGGCAAGGGCAACCGAATGCTGGCAGGACGTTTGATGCGCCACAAGTGCGTTGTTGTTAACCCCAAGGCAGACGACGCCAGCAACGATGCCAGCGTCCGGATCCCCAGTCAAGCAGCCTTGACGACAGACAACCAGAGCTGATATACATACGTATGTATGTGTATGTATATGTGCGTATATACGCGTATGCGTTGTCAAGGACAACAGACGCACAATGAACTCATCGCACACTGACTCTGATATTAACACAGGAGCAGCAGCAGCAGCAGCAGCAACAGCAGCAACAACAACAGCAGCAACAACAACAGCAACAACTGCTTGTTGAGTGAGTGTTGGCGGCACACCAGTTGCCTTTTGTGTCCTGGACAAGCGCTTGATTTGTGCCACGCCTCCGCTGCTCATCGTGGCCCAGCCTCCTAACCGAGCCACTCCATATCAGCACTGAAAAGGTGCGACGTGTCAGCAAAAATCGCATAAAGTGAAAGCAAATTTGTTGTCGTTTGTCCCATTGTTGTTGTTGTTGTTGTTGTACTTATGCCAGCAGGAGAGCAACAGGATGAGATTATAAGTATGTGCTATACACGCACACACACAAACACACACACACACGCATGCAAATGGTGTATAGAATTTTTGGCAGTTGCCGCCACTCAAACAGCAGCAGCAGCAGCAGCAGCAGCAGCTACAGCAACTCCCCTTGGAAATTTTTGATGTCTCGCATAAATTATTCGAGGGAAAAAGCTTCTTGTAAATCGAATAAATTTAAGAGAATTTTTTGCAGCTGTGAAGAGAGACGGTGGCAGTGGCAGAGGCTGGGGCAAGCTGTGTCTGCCACTCGAAAGGATATCAATTGCCTGGCTGGTCTTAAATGCTTTGATTGAGAAGCGCACAGAGAGGCGATGCCTTGAAATTTATAAAAGTTTGTTTGCTTTAGTAAATATTTGAACTTTTTTATTGAAGTATTTGCAATCTAATATTGAGAGTTTGAAGAAGAAGAAGAAGTCTTTGACAAATTTATAAAAGATTTATGCAAGTTTTATTTTGACATCGTAGTTGATTATTCTTGAACTATGGATTGATAGATTATGTTAGAGTTTGGATGACTCAAGTTATGTGGATGGATTACTGTTAGTTTCTCTAGCTGATAGATATTTGATATACATATTTTGTTTGAATACTATGGTCCAATAATATTCTTCCGTTAAAGTTAGCAGTTGAATATAGAATTTGAGAGACATTTGCTTATGGTTTGCCACCTCGAATTAGTCTAGTTACTGTTATTAGTCACTTAATTGACCAAATCGATGCCCCACTTAAGTCAAAGTCCGGAATAAGTTTTTGGTTAATTGCGTAAGCCGTAAATAAATCAATAATTGATGTGACAAAGGAAGCAATTCAAGTAGAGAGAGAGAGAGAGAGAGAGAGAGAGAGATTTATACACATGTATATCTGAGGTAGCTGTGGATTATATCGCATCCCATTGTGTATACATAATTGAGTACTCACCGCCATGCCGTATGATGCCCACTTCCTGCAGAATCGATGCCGCCAAATCCGCCTTTTGTCTGCTGCTCTCGAAGCGCTCCGAGTTGAGGGGCACTTGGAGCGGTCGGTAGAGCTGCGAGATGCAGAGCGTGCCCAGATTCTCCGTGGCGATGTCGTGTATTGTCACCAGCGACTGCTCAATGGCCGACTGCGAAGAGGAAGCAGAGTTAGAGGGGGGCAGCTCAATAAATCTCTATTCATTAGGTATATTTATAAATGAGCCCAACTCCCACTCCCACTCCCGCTCCCACTTCCACGCCCACTTTCACGGCTCAGAACGACCCAAAAGGCAGACAGCTTTAGCTTGTTTGCTTGGTCAACGCATTAAAAATACATTTTTTGGCTAAATACATTCATGGCCCAAACAGACAGCTAACCGGCGTCGGCTGCCCTTGGCTTTTATCGTTAGAGTGGAAAATTGAGTTATTTGCCTCACTTTGTTCTAATCTGCGAGCGCGCGAAACTTGCCAACAGAACCGGCTGACTTTGGTCCACCCGAAATTGATAAAGTGACCCAAAATATACAATGGGTGTATGTATGTATGCGTGTGTGTGTGTGTGTGTGTGTGTGTGTGTGTGTGACCTGACAGTTTATTGCTTTGTTTTGTTTAACTTTTGTTTTGTTCTCCTCAGCCTGATGACGACCTCCTTGAAGTGCTTAAACAAAGAACATTTTAATTGAACTGCGAACTGGGACCAAAAACTTTTTCTAATTTTATTTCATAGGGACAATCAAGTTTATTTTTTACTAATTTCTTTTACTATTGAAAAACTAATTTCTATTGAGAATTGAAATTCCCATTTTAGAGTATTACATTTAAGTGAATAATAAATTTAGCTTGATGCAATTGATAATGCAGTCACTCCCCATCGATCATGTAGTACCCATTCACTCTATTCTTGCAATTTAATTTTTTGTTTTTTTTTTAGTCAAGGAATCTGTAAGTAGTTACCTTCACCACCAAGACATAGGAAGCTATAGCTCTTTCCTGGATCTATACATAAATCTGCTAAGCCTATAAGCCTGACTTTTCGGTCTAAAAGCTCTAGGATCAAGAATTCCTATTGTATTTTTCTGATTCCTGCTGAGCTTTGGCCAATTTCCGAGCCTGCTCATAGCTGTCTACGTCTCTGGCTACGTTGGCCATGTCTATGTGTATGGCTTAGTGGCATTCGAATTCAATGAATTTTTCTCTTTGACTCGAATTGGGTCAAGCTGCCAGCGGCCTCCGCTTAACAGCCTGGGCTTCATATCTTAATCTTCTCAAAGCCAGAGTCAAGGCAAAAATTGCTGAATCAAAGATAAATTCATACTAAAACTTGTTTTATATAATTTTGTATGCTAAATATTCAATTTGAATTATTCAGAAAATCTTTTATGGAATTCTAACAACTATAATTTCTCGAATTTGTTGCTTTTAGGAACTGCTCCGTTATCATATCTTCATGCAGCAGCATCTGACAAGCTTCAGTAGCTTGAGATACCAATTAATCAGATTAACTGCTCTGCTTCTTCCACTTGAGTGGGCTCAGGTGCAGCTATTTGCACCTGCATTTAGTGTTGCCTTACAGCGGGTTGCTGTTGCCTGTTGCTGTTGCTTGTTGCTTGTTGCTGTTGCTGTCGTTTGCTCAAGTGTTGTGGCTGTAGGCTGTCTCATTATAACTATTGCACTCAGCGCTAATTGCAGCTAATGATGAATTAAACTTGAGCAGCAAAGCCACCCAACACCCAACCACCCAAACCACCCAACCACCTAGAACTCAAGTCTAAGCTACTTACACGCGTGACTATGTTGCCATCGCCAATTCGCAGAATGTTTTTAAATGGATCGCCCTGAGCAGCAGTTGAGCCCGGCCAGGCGAAGCTTGTGGATGTTGCTGCTGAGGCTGTTGCTGCTGCCGCTGCTGCTGTGGCTGTTGTTGTAGCTGTAGATGTTGTTGTCGCTGTTGCTGTTGCTGTGCCTGTGCCTGTTGGCTGTGTTGCAGTTGTTGTTGCTGTTGCTGTTGTTGCCTTTGCATGCTCAACTGCCAGCAGCAGCAGCAGCAACAACAGCAACAGTTGCTTTGTCACGCCAGCAACTAGTTGCTGTCGCTGATGTTGCTGTTGCTGTTGTTGTTGCTGTTGCAGTTGCTGACAACTGTCGTCGAGTGCTGCGGCGAGCATTTGCCTCTTTCCTGCATTGAGCATGCATCTCATTGTTGTTTCTCATTTGCCACTGTGCAGCTGCAATAGAAAGAGAAGGAGACACAGAGAGAGAGTGTTAGTGAGTGAGTGAGAGAGATATATTGTAATGCTCTTTAAATAAGTAATTGCCAAGCTTTCGCAAAAAGGAGAGAAAACTTAGCCCTAATTGCTGGAACCGAAATGTCCTTGCGATGAAAACATGCCAGCTGCAGGAATATTTAATTAGTTAAATGAAATCTCCTTCTGCTTCCTCCATTCGTTGCTTGTCTTTCCCTTCAGTCTGCGGCCTGTCATTGCCTCAGCTAAGGCTAGACTCTGCTCCGATTTCAGTGCAGTTCAGCACAACCTGCGCCGCGTTTAGCAACACTTTGAGCCTAATTGCGATATTCTAATGGCTAACGGCCATTTAAGTGTTGGTAAATGGGCAATTATTTAGCTAAGATAAAGTGCTCTAGGTGAAGTGGGTAAGTTTGGCGTAAAGCTAAGGGAAACTAATTGAAATGCAAAGTGGTTTTTAGTCATTTATTCAAATACCTTTAGTATTTTAGTGTTGGTAAATAGGCAAATATTTATTTATGATACAGATGAATATGTTGGTTGGGTGTTGGGAACTAATTTTCTAGGGTTAACAGAAAAGACTTGAAATATTTTCTGAATTTCAGCTTAAGCCTTGTTGAATAAAATTTATTTCTTGATATTTTATATCGTGATAGAGCTCACAGAATATATCTAAATGCAATCAGCTTAAGCTGCTTAGCTCAAAGTACGATTAAATAGATTTCACCCAGATATTAGTCAAATTTGTATTTACATATATTCGAGCCAGAGACGAAGAGAAGAAAATACTTGCTCAACGTGTCAGCACGAGGCCGAAATGATTAAGCAAATACATAAATAAATTGTTAAAATATTTATTTTATGCCTCAACGAAAAGGCAGAGCTCCGAGTGTCTCGCTGGGCCTCCGCGTGTTGGTGTGTCGGTGTGTCGGTGTGTGTGTTGACGTACGTGTATGCTTCCAGGTGGAAGCCACGTCAACAAAGGCAACAAGCGGAAGCACTTGCATACGACTTGCTCTCTAGACCAAAAACCAAACCGAAACCCAGCCCAAACCACAACCAAAACAAACCAAACGCTTATGAGTTTTTCATGAAAGCGAACGGAATGTAAATATCAAATAAAAAGCAGAAGAAATAAAGGAGAGATAAGCAAACCGTATGACTAACTAAGCTATACCCTGTATGAGTAAATGATGAGACATTTATTTATGAATATTCGATAGCTTTAAGATTTTTAAGTTTTTAATTAATATATTTCCATTGTGGACTTGATCCGTCTATTGTAATATTGTTTCCACTGCTTAGAATTGACGTAAGCTTAAACTTTTCTTTATTCTTCAAATATAATAAGAAGAGTCTCAAGTTGACTTTGGTTGCTCTAGCCTATGAATATAAAATGAAAGCGCAGTTCACTGCTCTCATAGCTCATAAGGCCCCACCTATCTGAAAATGTTTACAGGGTATATTTAAACATATACAAAAAGCATCAGCATGTGTCGAGGATATGTACTTGTGTTACATATCTTTTGCATTAGCAGCAGTCGAGAGCTGTAAAATGATGACTAAACTGGGACGTAATGCAGCTGGATTTTCCAGTTGGTGCAAAAAAAGGATTGAGTGGGCGTGGCAGGTAGAGTTTGGGGTAAGGGAACTTTCCATTTTTAAATGAAAGCAACGTTTTACAACGGTTTCACTTTTAGTTGGCAACAAATTGTTGTGCGTCGCCTGTCGTAAAACTTGGGCCATTCGATCCATGGGCTTGCCACCATTTTGTTTTATTTGCGGCGCATTTTACAAAATGGCCAACATTTATATGCACGTGTGTTTGTGTGTATTTGTGTGTGTGTGTAGTGTTCCACTCATAATATTTAATGTTCATCGCTTATTGATTGCATTTCCCGTTAAATGTTCTCTAACGAAAAGCCATTTGATGAACAAAAAACTGTCGCTGGGGAAATTACTTAAAAAGATTAACTCAATGGAGAGAGAAGTAGAGAGAGAGAGAGAGGAGGAGGTCATTATGATGCCAACTATTTAGATGCGTATTCTAGATAGAGTGGAGAGAGCGGAGCTGGGCGAGTTTATGATGTAGTAATTGCGAGAAATATGGGGAATGAAATGTAAATGGGTTTACACAGAATTTGTAAGGTCGTAAAGCTGGCAAGCAAACAGAATTCAAATTTGTGTATTAAAATTGCTGATATACATATTAGATACTTGCTATCATAGATGATTTATTCGAGAAGTTTGAGTCCTTATGCCGGGAATATTTCAAGCATTGCATAACATTTACCTAGCTTAAGTTTTCGTATCGAATAAAAACTTAAACTTAAAACTTGCTGCCAGCTGTGATGCAACTTGCCAACTTTTGCCTGACATTGTTCCCGTCTTTGGTTTGTTATTTCACTTTAGTGAAACTTTAAAGTTTCTTAGATATTAAAAGGGATATTAAAAGTTGCTCAATTAGAATGTTTTTTAATTGGATTGCAGAACTGGAAGATGCCAAGAGATCAAGGCTGGGAGAGAAAGTGTGAGAGAGAGAGAGAGAGAGAGAAAGAGAAAGAAAGAGAGTGTGGGAGAAAGAGAGAGTCAGAAAGAGGACTTACTCTAGAGGTTTATAGGCAGACAGAGAAGATAGAGAGATCAGGCATGAGGGTTTACTTAGAGGCTGAGATATTATTTTCAGGCATGTACGCAAGAGTTGATGCAATACGTAGCACCTATCTGTATATAATATATTTTCTCTGAACTCCTATCTCCTCGTCAACTCAAACATTCAGCTAAAATTCCAAAAAAGTTGCAGATTTTTGCTTGAACTAAAATTCAAAATGAAATTCAAATATCTAAAAGAAACTTTTTTTTAGCTTCATAATGAAGTTTGACATGCGGATGCTCTGAAATAATATATCACTAAAAAAACAAAGAAAACTGTTGACACGCCCCATACTAAACTAGCCGCACAATGATATGAAATACGATTTCCCTGCCAGAAGGAAACTAATTAAATGCAGCACGAAACCAACAGAAACAAAAGTAAAACCAATCTAAACAAAACGTGCGAGCGAGACAGCATGAATAAGCGCAGCTAGTTGAAGTTTTTATATAACAGCAAATGGGAGAGAGAGTGTGTGTGTGTGCATACTTTTGCATGCCACTGTGGCTCAACTAAATGCCGACACAAAATGCGCGTGTGTGGCTTTTGCCTTTTTTATTCCAACAGAAGTGGGCGTGGCCGCCTGTGTGTGGGCGTGCATATTAAATGGCAATGCGCGCATTAATTTGCATTGCCCAAAAAGGGGGCGTGGCAGCTGCTGCGTTTTTTGCTTTGCTGGCAAAGCCACAAAAGTCAATTGAAAGCGCGAACAAATTTGCAGCAGAGCTTATGCTGCTCGTTGGTGGGGAGCTGAAAGGGTATATAGGTTTTCTAGATATGGTTAATAAATATAAATTTAAGTCATTTTACTACATCGCTCCTTAGCATCGTATTCTCGGTTGTTGAAAGTTTATTTCTTAAAGTATTTGACGAGCATTAAGTAGTCGTTCATTCGCTCTCTCTCTCTCTCTCTCTCCCGGGTCTCGCTTTTTCTGCTTACTCACTCTATTTGTTGTTGCTCCTAGCATCGTTTGGTTAAGTTTCTTTTTACTACCCAATAATAGTAGTTGTTGTTTTTTTAGTTTTTTGTTGTCTCTATTTGGCAGCTGAATCCACATTTTATGTTCTCTTCTCTGTTCTCTGTTCTCAGAGTTCGTTCAGAGAGACATTAAAAGTAACAAGCCATAAAACACGCACAGCTAGCTCTGCCCCTTATGACAATGGGGCTGTAGGGTATACAGGGGCTGCCTAGGCTAGGGCTATAAATAAATAAAAAATAATTGAGGATATAAATATAAATTAAAATATTCTCT